GAACCCGGGGTGCCGGCACTGCAGGTGGATTAGTCAAGTGAGCCCCGGCACCATCCAAGACATCTAGTTTCATATTGAATCAGACCAGTGAGAGTACTCTCTGCCCACTGTTATCTTTATCTGGTCAAAGATGTTAGAGGAATGTTTTTGAATTCCCCATTTCATATGATATTGGCTGTGGGTTTGTCATGTGTGGGTTTATTAAGTGGAGAAATTTTTTTCCATATGCATGTGTTCATGATTTTAATCATGAATGGATTTTATATTTTATGAATCCTGAAAGCTTTGTGGGGAAAATGTGCTAATAATCTAATGGGGGTTTCCCTTAAAAGGGACCACTTGCTTTCCTGATTCAATTTTGTTTCTTTCTTGGTGTTGTTCCTTTGAGTACAAATATAAGGTGACAGAAATTTCTCTGCTAACTTTTCTCAGAGCTTTTGGGGCCTTCTGTACATCAGTGTCCATATATTTCTCCAGCGTGGGGAAGTTTTCAGCTGTTACCTCACTGTCCTGGATCTTCTCTCCCTCAGCGACTGCGGAAATTTGAATACTTGGTTATGTTGTGTTCCCCTGGTCTCATGAGGCCATCTTCTTTTTGGTTCCTTTTGTCTGACTGGTATATTTAAAAAGGCTCATCTTTGAGTTCAGATATTCTCTGTTTTGCTCAGTCTAGTCTGTTGTCGATATTTGCAACTTTTTTGTCTTAATCACCTCATGTTTTGTAAGTTTTCTTTCAGTTCTTGTTCAAGGTCTCTGTTTCTGTTGAAGTTTTCATTCATTGATGTCATTCATCACTTGCATAACGTTCAGGTAACTGTCCATATTCTCTTGTGTCTCTCTGAGTATCCTCATGAAGCCCGTCTTTTGAATTCTTTATCTGGCATTTTATGCACCACCTTCTTTGTGGTCGGCCACTATAGTGTTGTTATATTCTTTTTGGTAGCGTATTGTTTCACTTTTCACTCTTCTGTCCCTATGTTGATTGTTGCACATCTTGTAGATCAGTTTTTTGTATCATTTTTAAGGGAAGGTTTTGAAGGATTGCAAGATTTTTCCTGAATGTCTGTCTTTAGGTATTGACTTTGTAGCGTGTTTTGTCTCCGTTTCAAGTTAAAAATCATAATGGCCTCTCTCTATAGCTTATTTTGCTGTAGTTCACTACAGCAGCATCAAGGGTGTAGGTATTTCTGGGGTCCAGTGGAGTTGCTTGGCTCCCTTGTGTGGAGTTCCTCAGCCACCACTAGTGGCAGGGAACAGAGATGCAGAAATGACATTCTTTCTGGAAGCACACCTGGCTGGCTCTGTGAGTGGGCCCAGTGACAGCTCACCACCCATCACCCAAATGTGATACAAGAAGTGCTAGAGATCACTGGTTCTGGGAGCAGGCCAAGCTGACGCTGGGACAGCCTGGTTATGTGGCCCTGAGCCATTGCCTGATGGGCCAGAGCCCCAGGAGTAGCAGTGAAGCCCATTAGATGGGGCAAGCAGACCCCTAGTCACTGCCAGAGGGTGGGGCTGGAGCTGCTGTATTTATTTGATGCTGGGATTTGCAGACCACAGGACCTCCAGAGGGGCAGAAGTGACAGGAGTAGTGCTGGTGCTGGGCGCTGATTATTTTCTACACTTACATTATTTCAGTGTTATTTTATGAGGCAATACATCTTGGTCTAATGCTAAACTATATACCGTGATCATATCAGGAAATCTGCAGTCAGAAACAAATAATTGCATCATTCTAACGTTTTGCATATTGGTATTATTATATTATTCTCAAACATTTGATATTTCAGCTTTACTTCTTCTTTTTGTTGAGGCTTTTGAAAGTAAATACCACATTCCATAAATGTTTAGTGTAGTATATGCATGGCTTAGCCCCCAGAGTGCTTATATTCCACTAGATATAAATTTGAAAAACAAAGATATGCAATATATGTATATAACTTAATTTCAACCTTTTTTTATTTCGCCTTTGAAATCTTTTTTGGTTAAATATTTTGAAAGAAGTCAGAAAATATTGTGGGGAGTGCAACTGCTGAGTAAGGTTTTTAAAAGGCTGAGTCATCTCACCTGAGCTGCCAGGAGTCAGAAAGCAGAATATGCATGAGAGTGGTGATTCCAGGAGCAAGAAGTGAAGGCAACTCCTCGTAAACAGCATTACCAAAAGCAGTGGGTTAAAATAAGTGAAGTAAAGGAATTGCTCCAGAAAAAACGTACCCATCAGATTTTCTCAGACTATCAAAGGTGTTAAAATAAGTATCACATAGCAGAATACTGGTAGCAATGCCACATTGCAATGTTAACTCTTGTACGGATGTTTAAAGGAAAATTACCAAAACATGAAAAAATATCTGAAAGCACAGCTGAATGAAAACCCAGAAGGGTAAAGGCTGTTATCAAATGATCCACTAAAACAGACATCAGACCAGCAGTCAATATGCATCGTGTTTGATGTAATTGTAGAGCAGTGAATTTTTCTCTCCTTACACTCTCTACATTGCTCACGTCTCAGTTATAGGCTCGATTCTCTGTACAGAATACTGTATATCAGATGAGTGTGTGTGTGTGTGTGTGTGTGTGTACAAGTGCATTCTGAAGAGGAAAGGAGACCATAAATAGTTGAGAACAAAGTACTATCTAAATCAAAATGCAACTGTCACTCCTGTCTCTCTCTTTGTACTTTCAGAAAAGAGTTATTTGCCAAAGAGTGAATATCAAGGCCTTGACAATTATTCTAGCGAGGGCACAATGTTCGACTCCCAAAACAATGTAACCCAGTGGTTTTCAGCAAGAAAACGGCTGAATTCCCAAAGGAATTCCTTACTGTTAGTAAGACCTCTGAAAATTCACTAGTGAGAATAAATGCCACGAAATCTAACATTAGTACTCTGAACTGAATTTGCTTATGCCGGACCTCTAAGAAATGAATTGTATTCATTCCAGAGGCGTAGCCATTTTAAAGTAAAGCATCTTGGGGATTCCAAACTGGCAGAATGGGGAAAGGGTGTACTGCTTCAGGCTTGGGGGGAAAAAAACAGGGATGAAGTGTATTCTTAGGGGAGACTTGGAGAGCAAAGCACAGGAAGTGCTGAGGAAGGAAGAAGGACACCGTGGATCGTGGTGGAAGGCCCACGTGGACGCCAAGCAGCAAGCCGAGACACAGCACATGACCCCAGGAGCCGAGAGTGGGAGACTGCACCAGCTTTGGAGAGTGAGTGAGATCAGAGTGCAGAAACCCATGACACTGGTGATCCAGCTGGAGGGAGAGCCTGGTCGACTGCACTGTCTGTGAATGCGGCCTGGAGTCCTGAGTGCGACAGGGCACCCACTTACCCAGTGGGAAAAAGGGGCACATTTCCCTCTCCCCACATCCCCACAAACAGGTGTCTGAGAGAGGGCAGGTGGAATTGTGGGTGTAAGTAGCAGCTGAGCAGGTCTTGGGCATGTGCCAGCAGCTGGCAGTTCAGCTGGAGGATGGTGGGGAGAAGGTGCCATGTGAAACAAGGAGGGGCCGTGGCAAGTGACTCTTGGTGCACGTGTGGGATCCAGGGATATTGCCAGAGAGCAAAGTCCCTGTTCCCCACTGACCTTGAGTCTGGCTGGGAGGATTGCTGGGGGCTGTGCACCCAGGGAGGACTGTGAGGTACTCCCAGACACTCAACATAGCAGAGGCTCAGGGGCTCAAAACCCCAGGTAGGGCAGCCACAGAGAGCTGGTTCCAGGAACATGGCTCTCTCTCCACGGATGGGACAGCTTAATGAGGTGGAGCAGACCTTCTGCACCCATGACTCGGGGAGCTTCCCCCAGGTATCCCAGTTGGATGCAGAGGCCCAAAGACATGGGCCATCTTCTCTGCTTTCCCACGTGGGAGATGTGAATGAAGCTCCTGGTTGCTGAGTTCAGTCTAGCCCAACCATGGCATCCAGGATTCTCCTGGTAAACTTCTCTTTGGGGGAGGGTGTGTGGCACAGCGATGACACCACCTGGTGGGACGCTCCCATCCCGTTCCAGAGGGCCTGAGTTCAAGCCCCAGCTCTACTTGAGTTGTAGTTTCCTGTAATACCCCCAGGAGACAACAGGTGGTGGCTCGAGTTGTTGGGTCCTTGCCACCCACACGGACCCAGGTTGAATGCCTGGGTCCTGGCTTCTGCCTGGCCCAGCTATGGATGTTGTGCATACTTGGAGGGCTAAACAAGGATGGAAGGTCTCCCCACCTGTTCCTTTCTCTTTTGTGTGTCCCTGCCTTTCCAATGAATCAATAAAAAAAAATATGGGGCCAGTGTTGTAGCATAGTAGGTTAAGTCACCTTTGGTAATGGCAGCGTCCTATGTGGGCACTGGTTTGTATCCAGGCTGTTCCACTTCTGATCTGGATTCTCCCGAATGTCCTGGGGAAAGCAGTGGCAGATGGAACAAGTGCTTGGGGCCCTGCCACCCTCTTGGGAGACCGGGAAGTCTTAACTCCTGACTCCTGACTCCTGGCTTTGGCCTGGCCCCATAGTGGTTGTTGCAACCATCTGGGGAGTAAACCAGTTGGATGGAAGTTCTCTCTATGTCATACTCTCTGTATCTTGGGCTTTCAAATAAATAACTAATCATAAAAAAAATAAAAAAATTGTTTGGCACACTGGTCTTCCCCTGTCCCAAAGGGCCTCTAACCTGTGGCCAGCAATATGCCGCTTTCTTGTGTTCTGTCCTGTGAAGTTTGCTCTTTTTACTGGCGAGGACTTGCTCTACCCACCCCACCATGTCCAGCAAACCAAGCTGCTGGTTTTCACAGACAGCCCCACCCACCCTGGTAGCACCACAAGCTCAGGGTGGGGAGGAGAGGGACACAGCTCCAGGCCAGCACACCACCTTCTCCCACTCTTCTTTCCTGGACGGTCACCATTCATCCATCCATCCATCCATCAGTGCTGTCTGTTTTGTGGTTGGTTGGTTGGTTGGTTGGTTTGGTGGATTCCCAGAGTCCTTAACGGTTGTTGGTTTTGTCTTGTTTCATAGCTGTCGGACACATTGCTGAGGAAAGCCAGACATGAGCGCCTCCTTCAGCACCGGACACAGCCTAGGATCTGGCTGGGCTCAGGACCTCCCCTCCCATCTCGAGTGCCACGAGGTGAGTCGGCCCTCTTCAGTGAAGCTCTCCACTCAAACCCAGGCCTCCCTCAGCTGGCATGGGGAGGTGCCAAAGATTGTGTGTATGCCTGTGGGGGTCCCAACACTGCCTCAGGCAGTAGTACCCAGCGTGGTGTGCATGTTAACTAGCAGATGGAACACCACCTTCCATCCCTAGGGTGTGCAAACTCTCACACTCAATTTCACTTCACAAGGGAGCCCACCTTTTTGGAGCTTCTGTTCAGCTAAGCTCCCACGTTGGAGCACTATTTCAAGTCCCAGCTGCTCCACTTCCCATCCAGTCTCCTGCTCGTGTGCCCAGGAATACAGCAGATCCAGGCCAAGTACTTTGGCCCTACCACCCATTTAGGAGAGTAGTAGGAGTTCCCTGCTCCAGGCTCCATCCTGGCCCCTCCCTGACTGTTGGGGTCCTGTGGGAAGTGACCAGAAGCAGGAAGACCACTCTGTCACCACCTCTTTGACTCATTTCCGTTTCAAATGTATAAATCTTTGTGAAAAATTACACACCACATGGTCATTTTCAGATCAATGTGGAAGCTTTATTTATCAACACAGGCAATGAGTTGGATCTGGTTGCAGGGATTCAAACCCTTGCCACGTCACAAGGGAGGGAAGGCCAGGTCGGGTTGAGAAATACCCAGCACTCTCCCCACGTACCCATGGTGCAGCATGAACACTACAGAGAGCCCTCCATCGCCCCCCAGTCTCTTCCACTGCTCTCCCCATTGTCCTGGATCCAGTGCCCTGTTGCCGTTGATTTCTCAACAATGTTGCAGTGGATTGGTTTCTGAGAGGAACAGCGTGGTGGGGGCAAGAGGCGCGGAGTCACCACACAGAGCCCGGGAGTCGGGTGAAAGCAGGCTTGAGGCGAGCAGCCGGCAGACTCGTTTATTTCAGTTGGACGTACATCTTATATAGCCAAGACCAGCCAATCTGGTCAAGGTGCGGTCTATGCCCCATCCAATCACAGCCTGCCAGGCAGTTTCCAAAGCCATCCAATCACAGCCTGTTGCCAGGCAGTGTCCAAAGCCATTCCTGAGTAACTAATGCTCTCTTGCCAGCGGCCACCTTGGCGTGGCCCTCTCATTCCACCACATTTCCCCCTTTTTGTTTATTTTTGAGCAACGGGAGGCATGATTCTTGGCCATACCATTGTTGGCCCCATTTCCATGTGGTCTCCGTACGCAGCTGTGCCTGTCTTAGGTTGTCCCCCAGGGGATCTTACCCGTCATTGACTAACCAGCGCTGAAATCGAGAGACCACAGGAGTGCTTGCTCAGATGGGGGTAGGAATGAGGAAGAATGGTTATCAGGAGTGGCATGACCGCACACAGGCTGTGGGCCATTTGAGTGGCTGACCAGAGCTAGTGGGGCACAGAACAGTAACAGGCATGGCTATGGGCAGTTTCTCAGGGTTGGATGATAGGGCAGGTGCGTCTGCTACCAAGGCAGAGTCTTGGTCTTGTTGAGCTGGTTCTGGTGGATTGTCCCAATTCCACACTAAGCCCAAGCTCAGCCTCCCTCAGCCCACCCTTGGCCCACCCTTGCACCACCCTCGGCCCTCCCTCGGCCCACCCTCGCCCACCCTCGTCCCTCTCTCTCCCTCCCTCGCCCACCCTCGGCCCTCCCTCGCCCACCCTTGGGCTCCCTGGCCCACCCCTCGCCCTCCCCTTGCCCTTCCCATAAGGCCCACACTCGGTTCACCCTCACCCACCCTCGGCCCTCCCGTGCCCACCCTAGCCCTCCCGCGCCCTCCCTCAGGCCCACCCTCATCCACCCTCGGCCCTACCTCACCCTCCCTCGTCCCACCCTCAGCCCACCCTTGCCCTCCCTCTGCCCTCCCTCGCCCACCCTCGGCCCACCCTCGCCCTCCCTTACCCTCCCTCAGCCCACCCTGGCCCACCCCTGGACCTACTCTGTTTGTCCCCATCCTCCATTACCCTGCCCGTGCCCATACCCCCACCTGTCTTCACCCTTCCCTCACCCGTCCGCCACTCCCTTGCTCCCCGGGCCCTCTCCCCACAGACCACTCTGCCTGCTTGTCCCTGCCCTCGGCGCCTGTCCCTGTGCCACTGTGCTGGCAGCGAGGCCTAATAACAGCCACAGAGGATGACATCACAGAGGGGCTGGCCTGTGCCAACATGCTGTGCAGGTGACGTCATCGCCCTCAGTGGGACTGTGAGCCACGTGTGGAGCACACTCGCTCGTGTGCACTGGGCACTCTCCACATTGGTCCACTTCCCAGCCCATCATGGGGTGGCAGGTGTAGACGGGCTCTTACAGGGCTCGTGACCAATGGAACCTAGTTTTAAACTAACCCCAGAGCAGGGAGGAGTATGTACAGCATTCCTTCAGATCAGTCACAACAGAGCTGCCCCTTCTCTGCTCGCAGGTCTTCCTCAGGCTGGGTGAGAGGTCAGTGCCGTGGGCTTTACCCTCAATTGACAGTCACCAGAAAATGATGACAAATTGAACGTACCACAGTGGGACATGGACACTGGCAGATGACCCTTGCCCAAATCTTTTATGTTATCTAAGATCTTAGCTAAGGACAGTATGATGTTTCAGTTGCCAAGGTATTCTAAACTCCACTTCCCTATTTTCATACACATGATTAGACCCATGATGCATTTAATTAGACCCATGATGCAGTGTGTGTAAACTGCTTGGGCAATCTTTGGGCCCAGCAGTAAGAGCACCAGGATGAGACCTGGGGTTTCCATCCGGGCTCCACTCTTGTTTCCAGCTTCATCCTGGGGCTCCAGCAACTTCAGACACCTAGGAGGAGTGCGTGCTCTCTCTCTCTCTCTCCTTCTTAAATAAATAAAGAAAAAATTCTTAGAAAATGAAATCTTCAAATATAGAGTCTAGGCAGATTGAACATCAGTGCTGGCCTCGGCTCCACACTGGCCCAGTGCCAAGGGAAGGAACAATTGGAGCAGTGGGCAGTGGAGCCAACTGCCCATGGACAGGCACCTGCCCAAGAGTCACCGTGCCCGGCCACTAGAGTACCTCCAGCTACCAGGCCACACCCCCCCACCCTCTTGGAACCATTTCTCCCTCCCCACCCCAAGGGGTCCCACCCAGGTCTCTGCCCCTCAGTGACCTTGGGGGAGGGGCTCATATACACGGACCCAGTGCCAAGAGGGACAGCAGATTCTGCCACCCACACCCACCCGTTAAAACCTCCAGAGTCAGCATCTGGGACTGTGTTATGGTGTGGGAAGCTGCCTTCCAGGATCTGGGCTGCTGGGGGTCCCTGGTGCATCTGTCAGCGAGGCCAGGCCCTCCTGGGGAGCTTCCACAACCACAGCGGGGGAAGGGGCACAGTTAGAGGGAGAGAGAAGCCACAGAAGCTGACGCTGTGCCCCAACCCCTGTAGCCTCTGCACCCCTGCCCCACCTGCCCTGGCCTGGCTGGCCCCTGCAAAACCTGGTTTCTCCCCAGGAATGTTTGTTCCCGTTCTCTGCTGGGGCAGATGCTATGGTGGGGCCTCCTCCTTGACGAAGCTGTGGGACTCAGAGCCAGGCTCTGTGTGGCCCGACGATCCTGCTGACCCCGGCCTCCTGCAGACCATGGCCGCCATACCCCTGGCCGCGTCTCCAGCTTTTCAAGTGGGAAGAAACCACCCCGCTACCCAGGACCTGACTTCTGTGGGCCATCCTCAGTAAGGTCAGTGAAGGTGTACAGCCGCCTGGACCATTTCTGTGAAGAACGCTGGTCGAAGCCTTGGCTGAGGGGGTCCAGGGGTGTGGAGTTGTGGGTGAGGACCCTTCAGGGAGAGAGGTGGTCACTGGTGTCCAGGAGCCAGCTAAGGTAGCCATGGGCCTCCCTCACCTGTCCTTGCCCACAGTGTTTCACGGTTGGTTTGGCATTTGTGGCCTCAGATCACGGGCTCCTTCGCTGATAGGTATACCCTGCAGCCACGTGGGCCCCACCCTTAGGAACCTGCTGGGCGCTAGAGGCTGGGAGCTGCCAGAGGATAGGCGATGGCCTCAGGAGCTAGTGGACACTGGGGGCAGCTGCTGAGCGTGGGTGCCCTGAAGTACACTTAAAGGAAGAGGAGCCCAGGTCCCACCTATTCCCTGTGGAGTTTTTTTTTTTTTTTTGACAGGCAGAGTGGACAGTGAGAGAGAGAGACAGAGAGAAAGGTCTTCCTTTGCCGTTGGTTCACCCTCCAATGGCCGCCGCGGCCGGCGCGCTGCGGCCGGCGCACCGCGCTGATCCGATGGCAGGAGCCAGGAGCCAGGTGCTTTTCCTGGTCTCCCATGGGGTGCAGGGCCCAAGCACCTGGGCCATCCTCCACTGCACTCCCTGGCCACAGCAGAGGGCTGGCCTGGAAGAGGGGCAACCGGGACAGAATCCGGCGCCCCGACCGGGACTAGAACCCGGTGTGCCGGCGCCGCTAGGCGGAGGATTAGCCTAGTGAGCCGCGGCGCCGGCCCCCTGTGGAGTTTTGAATGCGGCTTCTGGAACACTGTCCCCTCTGGAGCTCCTGAGTTTGTTTTAGATGCAGCCAGTTGTAGCCTGGCTCTGAGCTCTGCAGTCACACATATGCAGCGCACACACACTCAGTCCAGAAGTGAACTCTGAATGGGCTGTGCACGGAGCATACTTCAGCCCACAGGCCCTTCCTGACATGCTTCAACTGGCATGGGCTGGGGGGTGTGGGGCACAGACCCCTCAGTGAGCCTGAGCAGCAGGCGGGTCGCTGGCCCTAGTGGAGGGGTGCTGAGGAGGGGGCGGTTGGCTCGGGGGTCCGTGGTCTCCACTCGGAAATGCACCCAGAGAAGGGACCCAGCAAAGCGGAAAGGACACCAGCACCTGTCCCGGACACAGGTGACTGCAGATGTCCAAAAGGGCCCAGGCCAAGGGGCTGCCTCCCCCCGCCAATCTCCTTGTGATGCTCACCTCGGAGAGGATGCAGGGCCACACTGGTACTGGCACTGGAGAACCCTGGACCCTGAGTCTCCACCCACACCCCATGGCTGCTTTCATCCTGGTGAGTGTCGGAGACCCTGAAGGGCCGGGCCATGGTCCCAGGCAGAGGCCTGTCCTCAGTGCGCTGGCCCTGGCCTCTCGTTCCCTCTCTCTGGATGTGTTTGTGTCTTACACTGGAGGAGACGCAGCCATGCAGGTCCTGAGCAGGAGTCAGAGCTGGCCTGGTCAGGGAGTCTTCCTCCTGGCCCAGACCCACCTGGGTCCAGGAACGTTCTCAGTGCCAAGGGGTTCCACACATTCCTACAAAAACCAATGTGAAACCCAGTCCTCGCAGCTGCCCCTTAGGGCCCCAGGACTCCATGTCCTGAAGGCGGGGAGGGGCAGAACGCATTGCTGCCCCTGGACTCTGCTCAAGCCCCAGGGTCAGAGTTATGCCCACCCTGGTGGCTCCTGGGTGCGGTAACTGCTTCTGTTTTCCCTGTGGACCACAGCAGGCAGGCCACCCCCTTCCTGGAGTAAGATCACCTGTGTGGACCATGACGGTGATGTTAGTGTGTGTGTGTGTGTGTGTTCTGTGTGCATGTAGGTTCACATGTGTATGTGCACTGTGCAAGTGTGTGGTGTGCACATGCAGAGTTAATGGCTCCATCCTGGTCCAGCCCTTGTTGCTGTAGCCATTTGGGGAATGAACCAGCAGGTGGAAGATATCTCTCTCTCTCTCTCTCTCTCTCTCTCTCTGTCTCTCTCTCTCTCTGCAAATCTGCGTCTTAAATAAAAAACATCTTAAAGAAAACCCTAAAACCCCACCATTTTCAGCACTGGGGACGCCTTCAGAGCTCTAGGAGCTCAGGCACTTGATGTTTGGTGGAATCAGGGACAGCAAGGTGGCACAACTAGGCCTGCAGCCAACACTGGCATAGCCTTCGGGTGCCAGCTTGAGTCCCAGCTGTTCCCAGCTCCTGTCTTGGGTGCTTGTGAGCTGGGAGAAAGGATGTGGAGTGGTGCAGGTGCTTGGGATTCCTGGCTGCCCCAGGCCTGTCCACGTCTGGACCTCCCCTCGCCCCTCATCAGCACCAGTAATGCTGTGTCCTTGGTCCCTGGCATCTCTAGGGCCTCTCAGGTGATTCTGGGTCCTTAACATGGGGTCTGAGGCTGCTCTTACCGTTGGCTTCCGCATGGCTGCTGTCTGTTGCTTTTGTGGCCACCATGGCTCAGCCATGGCCACCTTCCCTGAAGAGTGGTTTGGGGGCTTTTGCGTCCTCTGACCCCTGCCTCCCCAGGTGTGTTCACAGGGGGCAGCCAGGACTGGAACCAGTGCCTACGATGATGGCACTCTACCCACCACACCCAGCACTGATCCCCCACCTCACCTTCCCACCCTGTGTCCTGCTCAGTGGACAGGGGAGGGCGAACAGCGTGGACCTCTCTGGTCAGGTGGCCACTAACAGGAGGAGGTGTCGAGCCAGGCCTGCTTTGTGTCTAGCTCCAGTTTTCAGGGTGGCAGCTCCCACTGGTAGGCACCTGACCAGCCTCCTCCTAGTGGCCTCCAGGGGTTGCCTGTTGGGGGATGTGGGAAGGGAGTTCTGGCGCCCTTGGCGACATCTGCCACCCACCCTGTCACTTGCAGCTCTGTGGGAGATGGGTGAGGGCTCCCCTTTTCTGAGCAGGATGCCGAGAGGGAGCTGTAGAGATAGAGGTACAGGCTGAGTGCTGGGGTTAGGCATGGCTGGCAGGTTTGTAAATGAAGACCTGCAGTCCTCATGGCCCTAGATTGAGGCCAGGACCTCCCCCAGGCCCTGCCTTCCAGCGGGAGTCTGCAGCCCGGCCTGCACACACCACGCTCCCCTCCCCTGTCCCCCACCTTTATCCCCCTCCCCTCTCCGCCTGCCCCTTCCACAGGTTTTTCAGGTACCTCAGGCACACCAGCCCCAAAGACTGTTCTCTCAGGTACCTCCAGCCCCAAGGACGTCGCCGAGCTCCTAGCCTCAGGTCCTGCCCATGGCATCCCTCCCCTTGCCGTGCCTTCTGTGTCCAGGCAAGGCTCTGGGCACCTCCAGGTGAGGCTGACCCTGTGCACTGCCAGCACAGGTCATGCCCACATCCGCCTTGCAGCCTGCCCTGGTGGTGGAGATGTTAGTGTTGAGCATCCTGCAGCCTTCTCTGCAGACTCACTAGCGGTGCTCTGTCCCCTCGTATCCCTGGCGCTGGGCGTTACGGGCGGTGCAGAACCCGAAGCCCTGCTGGGCACAGGAAGGGGAGGTGAGGCTGCGCTGGGGGGCATGTGTGCAGGTGTGAGGAGGTGCAGTTGCTGCGAGTCAGGGGCCTTCAGCGGTCAGGTTTGCTCAGCCTTCCTACCCGGCCATGACTCGGGTTCTGAGTGTGCGGGTTCACTCCTGCCCTTATCTGGGGCCTCGTGCCTGGGCTGCACTTGCCCTGTGAGCCATGGCCACCAGCAGGTGTGGCTTTGGCAGTGCAGTCTCCCTTGGCTGCAAGCCTTCCCTTGGTGGCTGCATGGTGGTGGTGGGGTGCCCAGGAGGTGTGAGTCCCAGGCCAGGGCAGCACCATAGAGGTCTGGGAACCCCTCCTCAAGACGTTACGCTGCAAAAACCTGAATCCATTGCTCTGGGGCAAGTGTGTTGCAGGCTGTCTCAGTGCTTGTCCAACCGTGCGTCCAGTTCCTGTCCTGTGCACTCTGCTGGAGTCACCCCCTGCCCACAGCTCAGAGGCCCCACAGGTCGATCCAGCCTGGGAAGGGCCGGCAACCTGGGGAGGGGAACTTGAGCGACCCTGGGAACAGCCATCAAAGACTCTGCAGGACCTGGGGGACCCATGGTTTTCGTGCTGTGGGTAGAAAGTGGGGGTGGGCTGTAGGAGTGCGGGGGAAGGAGGGCATTGCTGGTGACTGGGGCTGTGGTGAGCGTGGGATAGGAACACTGGGTGGGGGAAAGTGCACAGTGATCCTGGCAGCCTCACCTGGTGACACCAGGGGCAGGACGAGGTGGGGCCCTGGCTGTGGGTCCTGCAATGGCCTTGGGGTCCCCGGAGGACCTTGCCACAGCCACAGGCCTCTGCATGTCCTTCCCTGTCAGCCACTTTTGTCTGGGGCTCTATCTGGATGTGCAGCCGCAGGTGAGCCAAGGCCCCAGGCCTCCCAGGCAGGGAAGTGCCCATGGCCCCTGGAGGTATGAGCAGAGGCCAGGGTCCCAGCCCCTCCCACGAGTCCCTTGTTGTCCCTTGGCCATGTCTCTGTAGGGCCCTGGGAGCTGCTCTCTGTCCCCCAGCACTGTTGGGTGCAGGAGGATCACAGGTGCCATCACCTCCTCCACTCCTCAGCCCTGAGTCGCAGGCCCACCTCTGTGTCTGGCTTTTCCCTTCTACTTCTCAGCTGAGCATGGTGCCTTCAGGGTCCATGCTGCATGGACCGAGTCAGAGCCGCCGCCCATCTGGTTGTGGGGCTCCGCAGCAGGTGGACCCTGCCCCGATGTGGTCTGTCCCTCTGTCCCTCAGTGGGACTTGATCTGCTCTGGACGGAGAGCAGGAGGGTGCTGCTGTGGGTGAAAGCCAGGGGTGCAGGGTAGCAGGGACTTCTGGGAATAGGAGGCAGGGTGCGCAGGGCAGGAGGGGCTTGCTGTGGGTGAGGCTTCACGTGCAGCTGGGGGTGGGGCTCCATGTGCAGCTGGGGGCTTTATTTTCAGGGCTGGGAGGAGGCATGGCTGTGAGCAGATGGACCT